CCATGTTTCTTTTGCTTCGTTGCATTTTTTCTTTTTTTCCCTGTTTAAGATGTTGTACTTTTCCACATTTGATTTTTTCTTTGTTCTCTCTTCCAATAGTTTTAAAATGTCCTGGGTCATCCATTTTTTATTAGCTTTTTTAGCTTTCGGGGAGATATTTTCTTCCACAGCCTCCATTATTGAGTCTTTCATTTTCCTCCATAGTTCTTCCGATTTAGTCATGTTTTCCAAGGCTTGAAATTTATTTCTTACATCTATGGAGAAACGTTCTTTCAGTTCTTGATTTGTCTTTTAAAGACCTACTTCAAATTTAGGTTGATACTTTGACTTTTTGAATTTCTTCAGTCTTATGCGCATTTTACACATGACTGGTACATGGCCACTATCACAGACTGCTCCTGGCAGTGATTTAGATGATTTTTATAGTGTTTCTAAAACGTTTCTGAATAAGTATGAAGTCTATTTGATTTCTACTTCTATCGCCAGGACTCTTCCAAGTGTATCGTCTTCTTGGGTGATTTTCATACCAGGTGTTTGATACAATAAAATCCCCGCTCCATTCTCTTTACCCAGTCCCCATGGCCAAACTATATCTTCTATGCGTCTACTTCCTACTATGGCATTAAAGTCTCCCAGGACTATCTTTACATCTTGTGATTTAAACAGTTTCATTGCCTTATCAAGGTCTTCTTAAAAAATCTGAATTTCCTCGTTGTCGTGCTCTGATGTTGGTTCATATGTTTGGATGACACCTATGTCAAAAGGTTTTTCCCCTAATTTAGCCACGATGACTCTAACACTCCCCAAAAACCTTTGATGCTCTTTGATGTTGCTTCGTCAAATACAATTCTGACTCCTCTTTCATGGGTTTTTCCTCCTGAATATATAATTGTTTTGGATCCTCTTTTAATTAAGCCTGTCCCCTCCCATCTAACTTCTGAAAGGCCAAACATATTCAGCTTGATCCTATCCATTCCCTGCTCTATATTATCTAATTTGCCTTTCTGGTACATTGTTCTTACATTCCCTGTATGTGGCTATGTTAAGTTGCTTATTTTTGCAAAAAGCCATAAAAGGTGCTTTAGTCACCCCGGTTTACCAGTTAGAAAAAGACAAACACTTTAGCTAGCACACAAAAGCCCGAATTATTTGATTAATTATTTAATTAAAGAAACAATCGAGACTTACCTGTAAGTTGATGATTGTTTCTGATTTTGACGATCTGTCGTCAGGAACGGAGTGGTAACATGAGAAGGCAGCACGGCGTAACCCATCACACTTTAGATAGTCACAGTTGTGACAATTAAATTATTCATTTGGGAAACCAAATACTTGCGAGCACCATAGGTGAAATTAATGAAAGAATAACAATCACATAAACA